TGGGTTCTGTTGGTTTTCTCTATTTTTCTTTTCCTAGTCCCTATTTCATTCTTCTCTGCTCTAATCTTTATCATTCCCTTCCTTCTGTTTGCTTTAGTTTTAGTTTGCTTTTCTTTTTCTGGGATCTTAAGGTAGAAGATTAGGTTATTGATACAAAATAATAATTCTATTTTTTTTTTTTGAGACAGTGTCTTACTCTGTTGATTGGGCTAGACTGCAGTGATGTTGTCAGAGCCCACAGCAACCTCAGATTCTTGGGTTCAAACAACCCTGCCTTAGCCTCTTGAATAACTGGGACTAGAGGCACATGTGCCACCACCCTTGGCTAATTACCCAAGGGCACTAGGTCTTGCCATTACCCAAGCAGGTCTCCAACTTCTGGCCTCCCAAACTGCTAGGAGTATAGGCGTGAGCCACCATTCCTAGCCTATTCTTTTTTAAACATAGGCATTTACAATTATATAATACCGTCTAAGCTCTGCATGACATAGTTTTAGTATGTTGTGTATCCATATTCATTGAGTCCAAAGTATTTTCTACTTTCTTTTGATTTCTTCTTTAACACTCATTGATATGATTGATATGAGTATATTGCTTAGTTTCCAAATATTTGTGAATTTCCCAAATTTGTGAGAAATTTCATTTTATGGTGGTCGGAGAACATACTTGGTATTATTTCCATCCTTTTAAATGTATTGAAGTTTGTTTTGTGGCCCAGCACTCACTGAGGGCACTTGAGGCGTGTGCTCTGCCACTGCTGGGGGGGCTGCACATGTCTGCTGAGTCTTCTTGTGCTCTAACGTGGCGCACGTCTTCTGCTCACTTGGCAACGTCCTGCCTGTTCTGTCCATTACTGCAAGTGGACACTGTTGTTGAATTGTCCATTTTTCCCTTCATTTTTGTCAGTTTTTATCATGAACTTTGGCACTTCATTTTATATGTAATTGTTCTGTTTTCCTTAAGGATTGGCCCTATTGTCATGATAAACATCCTGCTTTATCTCTAATGACATTTTGTTTTGAAGTCTATTTGCCTGACATTCGCACAGCCACCTCTCTCACGATTTCATCTTCTATCTTTTTCAGTCCTTATAGCTTATAGTTTGAGTCTATGTCATCTTTGAATGTAAAATGTGTCTCCTGTAGATGGCACATAATTAGGTCTAGCTTTTTAGCCAGTCTTACAGTCTCTGCCTTTTGAGTGAACTGTGTAATCCATCTACACTCAACATCATTATTCGTATAGTTGAAGTTATGTTTGCCATGTTACGTTTTTTTCTACATGGCTGAAGTCCTTTTTGGTCTTCTGTAACTCCTTTATTGCTTTATTTTGCATT